GTGCTCGGCAGTTTTATTCGTCGGTGGTCGCCGAAAATTTGGTGTAAAATTCAGCCTGCTCGCCGGAACTCTAAGGTAAATAAAATCTACTACCTCATCTGTTTTCGGAGCCAAAATCGAAGGTTTTGGAGTGTGAATTTGGGAATCATTCCTTCTCAAAATTCGTAGAGGACCTCGAAAACTATGAGTAAGTGTTTAATTATTTCTAATTCGAGCACGTGTTATAGCCTTTTAGGGGTCGAAATCAGACGACAGCGAATCTGTCAAAAAACAGGGCAGTTTTGCCTAATCATCATACGGAGCTGTTTTTGATATGTTGGAGTAATAATTTAGGCTATGTGTCTTCTGATGTTTTGTATATTGAGTTGTGAGGTTTGATTTGGTATATTATATGGTCGATTTGGATAAATCTACAAATTGTTATGATTTTTCAAATAAACTGTGACAGCAAACAAGTTTGTCCAAAACAATTCTGGCAGTTTTCTGTATTCAACTTTTCGGGCTGTAATTGTTGTGTTATCTTAGTAATTGGGGGTTGGTATCTTCATCACAATTGTAGATAAAGTTGTGAACTTTTATTTGGTAATTTCCCAATTTGGATAAGCGTACGGCTTGCTACGATTTTTGGAAGAAAATGTGACAACAAATAACGTTGGTTTCTAGTTTAATGTCCATAGTTAGCATCTATCTGTTATTTGAGTCATTAGTTATTTTAAATTTGTCTTATTCAAATTGAGAAACAAGTATAAAGTAATGTGATCAAAGGTGAATCTTAAGAAACTATGATGTTGCTTTTGGTGCTAACTCGAGGTAAGAAGACTTTTTTATTTGAGAAAGAATTTGGTAGTTATTTCTTCAAGTTATATAACCAAATTTAACCTGACAGCTATGTTGGCGAAATTCTGAGAAAAAGTAAACCTCCTGCCGCACCTGTTTTCGGAGTCGAAATCAAAGGGTTTGGAGTGAGATTTTCGAATCAGTCTCTTCACAAAACTCGTCGAGGACCGTGATAATTATATGTAAGTGTTAAATTGCTTCTAGTTCGAGCAAGTTTTATAGCCTTTTAGAGATGAGAATTTGACGGCAGTGAGTCTGCCAAAAAAAGGGCAGTTTTGATGAATCATCTCCGTTGGGTTTTATTACCGTCTTAGGATAATAATTTGGGATATATTTCTTTCGTAAACTTTCAGATGAAGTTGTCAGCTTTGATTTGGTAAATTGTTTGGCCAATTTGGATAACTTTACAAATAGTTATGAATTTTACAATAAACTATACCAGAAAAGAGAATTTATCCGAAATTCTGGCAGTTTTCTGTAATCATCTTTTGGGCCTGTTTTGAATATGCTAGGATCATAATTTGTGATCAGATTGCAGTTGTTAGCTTTCATTTGACATATTACGTTCCCAATTGCCTATCAAAAAAAAAAAAATTACGTTCCCAATTTGGATAATCGTACCAATTGTTATGATTTTTCAAAGAAATTCTGGAAACAAATGTTTTAAACCTTTGTTTCGAGAACTCGTCAAACAAACACGAGTCAACTCTTGGTTTCATGTTTCCTTATGATAAATTCATTGGACTTGGTTTCTCATAAACTTGAATCCCTGTTTTCATCTCTTATGTAGGTTATAACTTATAAATGCCAAATTTGCAGTTGAGGCTAAAGTTTAGTTGGTGGCTCTACTGATAAGGTAAATCAATTCATTACATAAGATTTTCCTTGTTGCTTATATGATCACTACATTTGGAAAACAATTGCATGTATATCTTCTGATTCTCTGTGGCATCCAATTCCAGGCACCCAATTTCAGGCACCCGTAGAGAGGCAGAGGCAGTTGAAGCTAACGATATTACTTCAATCAAGTTCCAGATGTGAATGTTGTCAGCGGTTTTAAGTTCAATTTAATCGGCGAGGCAGTGTTTGGTTTCTTTGGTTGCTACTGTATATAGATTGATCACTGATTTAATTCACTTGTCAACAATTAATTAGTTAGGTGCTAATATGTAGTAACCAGCTATCAATTCAATTTTTTTTCCTTACAATTATTATTTGGTTTTTGTCATTAGTAGCAATAACAATTGTTTTTCGTTCATTATTTGATTGTTTTGCAAATAAGAATTATTAATTGTTATTTTTGGTTATTATATGCAAACAATTGGGGTATATTTGTGACAAATTAAAATTTATTGCAACCAACTATTCTTGTAGTTAAATTATTATATTGAGCAACGAATTTATTGGTCGCAACGTAGTCACTAAAATACGTTAGGTTTGTGACCATATAAAATCTATTGTAACCACGTACTCGGTTGTTAAAAGAATATCATTTATCAACCAAGAATATGTGGTTACTGTATGTATACCTATAGCAACCATATTAATATTATAGCGACCATAAATTTTAACATTAGCAAGTTCAAAATTTGTCGCTGATAATTACATCTTTAATGACCATTATTGAATGGTCGCTAGATCTATGTCTTTAGCGTCCAACTGATTTTCTGGTCACTAATACTTTTAGTAGCCACCCTGTTGTGACCACAAGTGACCAAGTCTAATTTGGTCGTTATAAGTTTCAGCGACCATTATCTTGCTTTTAGCAACCATAACAAATCGTCCCTAAAACCATTTTTTCTTGTAGTGTAAATAATAAATTTTCCCGGTCCCGACTCGGGAAAAACGTGCTAAATTAATAACGAAAAATTTAAGAAGCCCCATATAATATATAAATTAATAATGCATAAAAATAATTCTTAAATTACATGGTATAGTACATATTATATAGATCTCATGAAAGCTTAATACCAATATATTTAATCATTGCTTGTTTTCTTTGTTGGAAGTTCACAATTACCATCAATCTCGTCCCTCACTTTTCTTAACATGGGCTAGAACTTTCGGTTATTTGTTTTTGTCATAATCCAACACATAAAAATCATTATTATTACCATTGCTGCTACGAGACTCCTCGTGAAACGGGCTCTACATGCATTGAACTAATAGTACAAATAATAATACACATAAAAAAATAAAAAGAAAATGTATTTATTGAAAATAATAATAAAAGTAAGTTTATAAATTAATAATTTATTAATTAATGTATAAATTAATATTTATTAATTTATCGATAAGTTAATATTTCACTAAATTGATAAAATTTTGAACAGTATCAATTTATAGAGGTTTAATTGTATAATATATAAGTAGTAATAATAAAAAAAAGTGTAAATTTAAAATAATAAATAATGAAAGTGGAGAGAGAATAATATATATATGTCGGTATAACATAGATGACATGAAGAAATTTTCTATTTACAGCAAGCCTATTTAAAAAAAAATATGATGACAACCTGTAATTACTGAATTTACCTCTCAAAAAAAAATTACCAAATAAAAACATAACGGAAAAAAGGAAATAAAACCCTAAAACCTCTCCTCATGCTGTTTTATGTTCCTTGTTAAGTAAGTAACTTCCTTAAATATTTGAAACCCTAGTAATATATAATAGTCTTGTCAGAACTCATAAACCAGAAATTTTCTTTATTATTCTTTCAAATTTATCTCATATATTCTCGCTAATTGTTTGTTTCCGACAATATAATGTTGTCATCTGAGCATAAATCGTCCAAACTGAATATTACTAGGAAAAGGATGCGCGAAAATACGAGGATTAATATTTCTGTACGAGTTGCGAAAAATCGGAAGTTAGATCCGATATTCAAAGTTGAGTGCACATAGTAAATTTAAACATGAGAGAATTTCTCTTTACAGCAAGCCTATCCATCATTCAAAAATAATAATAAGGGAATATGACAACGGTAATTTTCATAAAAAAAATTAATAAAACAATTACCATATAGAAACATAACGGTAAAAAGGAGAGAAAATTTCTCATTTTTATTTTAAAACTATATCTAATATAAATTAACAACTAAAATGTATGAATTAGTATTATGTCAAAATGAGTTATTTGTTAAAAGACAAATATTTTCCATCTATTTGTATCATTCATTTCATTAAATGGATTATGGAGATCTAAAATATCTAATTGTTGAAAAAAGTCTGTTAAAACTCTCCTAAAAAATATGAGCTAGATTCTAGAATATTTATCGGTGAAAACAACTTTTAAACTCTTTCCAAAATAGTTTCTTATTTTAACATGTATATATTTTCAATTGTTATTAGGGTGAAATATACTTTACCCCTTGTAATATGCCATGGGTAACATTGACCCCTCGTACTATGAAAAATACACTTACCCCTCAATTTAATGGTTAATCTATTTGACTCTTAACGTTGTTTATAGTAAAATAAATTTAATATATCTTTAATAATCTTTACTAAATGACACATTTTTTTATTTCAAAAATATTACATGTACTCTAATAAATTAAATAAATATTTAAGATAGTATATTTTTTTTTGGATTAAAAATAATTTACTAGTTAAATATTTAGATAGTATAATTTTTCATATATTAGATGCAATTATTTAACTCATCAAACATGCACATTAAAAATACTATTTATTTGTAAAATCAAATTACGTATAGTTAATCCTAAATGAAAAGGCAAGTTAATTAAATTTTGATGTTACAAATAAATACAATAAAACATTAACATGTATCATTAATGTTAATGTAGAATTACAATTTTTAATATAAATATTTACTCAGTCAATATTTTAATTCAATATTTAAAAAATTATACATGTTAAATAAGAAACAATTATGAAAGAAATAACTACCAAATAGAGCGGAGAGAGAAAGAAAATAGTTGTATGAAAACCCTAAAACAACTCCTCATCTTCTTATTAAATTCCTTGTGTAATAAGTTATTTCCTTAAATATTTTAAACCCTAGTAATATAAATATAGATAGTCTTGTCATAAACAAGAATTTTCCTTATTTTTCTTTCTAATCTCTCTCAACTCTCAGGTTACGTTATAATCTCATATATTCAACATACGCTGCTGGTTGATTGTTTTGGACAAAGATAATGTTGTCGCATACGAGGAAAAGGATGCGTGAAAGTTTGTTTCGGACTAACGTTTCTGCACGAGTTGCGAAAAATCGGAAGTTGGATCCGATAATGAAAGTTGAGTGCGGTAATATTTTAAAAGAATTAATGAATCACCCTGCTGGATGGGTTTTCAGCGAGCCTGTTGATCCTGTGAAGTTACATATTCCTGATTATTTCTCCATTGTTTCCAAACCCATGGATCTTGGAACAGTAAAGGGTAAACTCGATATTTACTCTTGTGCCGACGAGTTTTTCGATGATGTGAAGTTGACTTTCGCCAATGCGATCTTGTATAATCCTGGTTGGAATCGAGTTCATCACTTGGCAAAGCAGTTGGATTCTCTTTTCTGTAAGAGATGGAAAAGATTCGAGGCCGATCGAAAACGAAAGAAAGATTCGGATCATACTCAGTGTGTTCGAAAGAGATCGAAAAAAGATTTGTCGTCTAGTGGTCAGGGTTTTTGTATTCAACCATGTACGGTGGGGGCTGGTTCGAAAGACAATTCCACCCCTGCGGCCTCCTGTGCTTCTGTTGCTAATGTCCAAAAACGGAAAAAAGATTCCGTTGATGATTGTGTCGGAAAACAAAAACAAAAAGATTCCGCTGCTGCTTCGATTATTATGTCTGCATCGAACGTCGAAGAAATGTCTCTGAAGATCTCTTTGAGAGCTGCGACGCTGAAAAGTCGGTTTGCAGAAACAATCTTGAAAGCCAAGTATCAACTGCAGCAGCACAAGGGTTCAACCGAAGAAAGACAAGTCGGAAAAGGAAATGGTAAAAGAGAGAGAGAGAATCGAAGAAGAATTTAGAGCTGCACAAAAGGAAGATTTGAAGAGGAGACGCACGATTGAGAGAGTGGCTCTCGAACACACGGAAAAAAGCGTTAGTATAAATGACGATAACGCCCATCTGTTGAAAGAGTTGGAGAGTGTGTGCGGCGATTCGGCATATGATCTATTTTACGGAAGGGTTACCACTTCTAGTAATTGTGTGGTTGTAAACCCTCTCGAGAAACTCGGCCTCTATCTAAAGGAGGATGATTATTATTATTTCGAAGATGAAGAACAAGATCGTGCGCTGCTAGTTATCGAGGATGAGTTGGAAGAAGGGGAGATTCGTTAATTAGTTCATCTCTGATGTTTTTCTGTAATTAGTTCTATGTAAGAGATTTCTAATTATGTAAAAATTTATATTATTTTCTCAGATAAATGAATTGAATATTATGTATGTCCGAAAGATGCTGTGGAAAAGAATTGAATATAGATTTCCCTTTGATGTTTTTATTTGAAATTTGTTATCTTTTATATATATATATATATATATATATATATATATATATATATATATATATATATATATATATAATAAATCGGTCATATGTAGATGAGAGGAGATAATATCTTTTTAGTACAGCAAATCTCTCATTCAAAAAAAAAAATGTGACAACGGTAATAAATAGCTGGCTTTTCCTAAGAAAAAAATAATAATAGAAATAATAATAATTACAACGTAATGGAAAAAGGAAAGTAGTGTTTTATGAAAGAAAGAATTAGTAAATAATTTTATGAAAACCCTATAAAACCACTCATCCCTTCTTTTATCGTTCCTTGTGTAATAACTAATAAGTAATTTCCTTAAATATTTCAAAACCTAGTAAAATATATAGTCTTGTCATAAAGCGTAAGTTTAATTCCTTATTATTTCTTCATATCTATCTCATTCAACAAAGATACAGATTTAATTTGTTAAACAAAGGCAGCCTGCTGCTGCTTCGATTATGTCTTCATCGAACGTCGAAGAAATGTCTTCAAAGCCAAGCATCAATTACTGCAACACAAGGGTTCTAATGAAGAAAGAAAAGATTTTGAAAATAAAAGGATAAAGTTAGAGAGAGAAAGGATCGAAGAAGAATTGCCATGAACTACTAGTACTACTTATAGAATTAAGGATGAGTTGGAAGAATTAATTAAGGGGATATTTTGTGTAAATTTTATTCTTCTCTTAGTTAATTGAATATTCGAATATTATATGTATGTACGGAGTTTCTTGAAATTCAATTGAATATTGATTTTATTTCCATTGATGTTTGTTCTTGCTTCTAGTTTATACATATCTCCATCTTACTCATGAGTTTGAATACGGATTACTTTAAGTAATTTATATATTTATTAGAACTAGGAAGATGCACGTGCATTGCACGTGTCTAGTTAATTGGTATATATCGTTTTTATGAAGATGTTAAATGTCGTTTCTATTTTTACTACTACTACTACTAATGTTTCAACTTCAAATGTGATTTGACGTTTTCCAGTCTAGATTTAACTTCTAAATAGCTGATTTTTATTCATTTGAGTTGGTTTTCTAATCCAACATGAATTAGCTAAATTATACGTCGGGGAAAAATATGCACTAATAAGTGAACACTGGCTAAACTTTGATCTTTCGAGAGTTTTCTGAATTCAGACTGTAATTCATTCATCCACAACTTTATCACCTGTCATCCAATTTAAATGATTCAAGTTGGATTAGAAAAAGCTATTCAAATGGCTATATATATTTTGATATGAGATTTTTCGAAATACAAACTCATATAGAATCAAAATCACGTTTAAAATCGAAATGGTACAAATAAATTGAAATCTCCTTTAGCATTAGTTGTTTCTTTGTTCAATGTGTTTGGTACATTATATTAATCTTAGAGTAAAAAGCAGTTTGCCTCCTAAACTAATTGTCGTTTTGCACTTTGCCCCCTAAACAAAAAAAATTTGCACGGGTTTACCTAAACTCGTTAATTCATTGCACGGTGCCCCCTAAACTCAATTTTCCGGCAATTTTGGACGGAATGTTATATCATGTGCGATGCACGTGTGATTTTCAAGGGTAAATTTGTCCATTCACTAAAATTCTATATATTAAATATAAATTAATCACTAAACAATTCCACGTCATCCAATTTGATTAAACAAAATATAATTAAAAATCAGTAAATAAAGAAATAATCTTTCTGGGATCGGAGTTGATGAGCATGGCAGTTCCGCCGCGAAGCCACAAGTGCCGCCGTTGTTCTTCGTCTTCTGCCAGTAATTATTAAAAGCATAAGAGGCGTGCGCCACCACCGTGTCCGGGAAGTAGCAGCTGCCGCCGTGTACAATCGCCTCACAGTCACCACCGCCTTCTCCATATGCGTAATCCAGCGCCTCCTGCAACGTCTCCGCCGGCACTGTCGGCTTCGCCACGCACCACAGCCCCTTCTTCACCCCACCCACCGGCGCGCCGGCGTGCCCACCACCGCCACCGCCGTGAGATGGCTCGCACGGCGGCAAATGGGGACCGTATGGAGGGCTAGCCATCGGAGCCATCACTGGTAGAAATGGAGGACTAGTAGGATTCTCCGCCGGCGACGGCGGAGATGAAGGTAGAAAGTTTGGCGTCGGTGAAATTACTCCAACCAACGGCGGCAGAGGACTTCCGTTCGGAAAAGCTGGTTTGGAAGAAACAGGAGCTACAGTAGTTAAATCAATAACCGAGAGCTTTCTCCGACCGCCGCCGCCGCCGCCGGCGATTATACTCACAGTTCTCAGACGAGAAACTCCGAGATTCTCCATGGATTTGAGGTGGGTTCTCACCAAACCCAATGTTTCTTCCACCGACGAAGTCTGCAAACGTGCATCCACGACGTACGGCGAGCCCATTTCTTTCAAGAAAGCAAGCAAGGGTTTGATGTAAGGTTCCGCCATTGGAGCTCTGTAAAAAGCTCCACCCCTCGAGTGAACCAAACAGTTGGAAGAAAAAGAAGCAGAGACTTTAATCTCTCTCTCCAAACCCCACCTAGTGAGACTGTGAGAGAATAGTGTATGTTCCTTACCGCCGGCAAAACCGAACCAACCATGTACTCTTCTTCTTCTTCATCTCTGTTGCATAAAACAGAGCGGCCGACAACGATTGAGGTAATATTAAAGATGCAAGTGAAGGGACTAATTTACCCCTTAAAATCTCACGTGCAAAGCACATGTTTTAATATTCCGGTTAAAATTGCCGGAAAATTGAGTTTAGGGGGCACCGTGCAATGAATTAATGAGTTCAGGTAAAAACGTGCAAATTTTTTTTGTTTGGGGGTAAAGTGCAAATCGACCCTTAGTTTAGGAGGTAAACTGCTTTTTACTCTTAATCTTATATCCTAACTTTATGTTAGGTTTGTAAGATATTTTATTATTTAATATATTGAAAATCTACGATATAACTAATATTAAAACAAAATATCCATAATAGTAATCTGAAATGTAAATTAATCTTATATAACATGCATTATTCTACCAAAATTTATATTATACACTGTAAAATCTAACTTAGGGATAACTAAGAAAAATAATTAAAATTAGAAAGACGGAGAAAAATAATATTTAGTTTGACCACCTAGTTAATCTCGCGATATACCGCGATATATATTGTGATACGGTACGGTTCCAATCAAAACGATACAACTCGGGTTTTGTATCGCTTATTGATAAATACCGTTTAATACCGCGAGATATCGTATCGTATCGTCGTATCACGATACGATACGATATTTACGATATTAGTCGATAATTAAAAAAAACGAAAAAAAGAAGAAGAAACGCAATCAACTGCTCTGAAAATGGATTTGAACAAATTTCTTCAATATCCTAACCTTAATTCACACTTTTCTCTTCAATCTCTTCACCAATCCTTACAATATCGCAAGTGTAACTCAATGTCTATAGATTCTTGCGATTTTAATTTTGCGATTCTAGACCAATTCAAGGCGTTTTTTGACTGGATTTTGCGATTGATAATGATGAAGGCAATCGTTTAAAGTTGGTGGATGAGGACGATTTAAGTGACAATGATCTTTAAAATTACGAGTGATCGAATATTTTTACAAATTAGGTTTTCGAATTTGAACTTGGGCCTATTTCGCTAAAGTTTATTTTAAACAGCTGATAAACTCTTACATCTGATAAGCTGTTTTAAGAGTTGATAAGTTGTTACGTCTTACTTTTAGAATTATTTTTTCAAGTGTTTAGATAATAATCTTACAAGATATTTTTACTCATTATTAGATCTTAACTAAATAGGCGGGGTAAATGTATTTTTTTAAAACTCCAACAACTTATATTTTGAATTTTTAAGATCTGTTTAAAAAAATTACCTAACACATTGGAAGAGCTTAAAAGCTCTTAAACATCTTATAAGCCTAGACAAACACCACCTTAGATGATGTTATTTGATGAACAATTATATTTTTTGTCCTATTTTATAATAAGATGTCGAAACTTGAATTTATATCTATTTTGAAATGAGTAGTTTAACTTAAAAATAATAAATTTTGTATGTTTATAATATTTTTATAATGTAGATATATATTTTTTACTATTTTAATAGTTGGTTAAATATCTTACGATACGATACGATAACGATACGGTACGAGATGTGGAGCAAAACGATACGAGATATTTTTACGATCCGATAACCATGCTTCTATGTAAGATATTCATTATCAAAAAAAAAAAATACTATATTAATCTCCTTATATAATAGGGTAAATTACAAACACCCCCCTGAGGTATGGTTAAATTACAAAAACCCCCCTCTTGTTTGGATAATTACATCTACCCCCCTCAATTATGATTTTTTCTTACCTTTATGGTGCCAAATTCAACATAGTCATCTAGATTCCGTGAAATGTGCTCTAGTTTGTACTCTTTGTGTAAAAAATACAGTTTTCGATGCACCACAAACTGATATATACAAGCTAAAAATCACATATTATGGTCATCTTGCTTCATAATGTAGAGTTTGAATGGGATAAAACAGGTACAAAAGTGATAATATTCCATATAATCTCGAAGATTCCACTAAATTTGATGAGTTGAGGGGGGTGGTTGTAATTATCCAAACAAGAGGGGTGTTTTTGTAATTTGGTCATACCTCAGGGGGGTGTTTGTAATTTACCCTATATAATATTTATCATGAATCCATGTCTTTGAAGTAATAAAATAAAGGAAAAATACAGTTTTCATCCTTCAAGTTTGCACTGATTTCACATTTGTTCCCTTTGTTCACACACAAATAACATATTTGATCCCTCGTGTTTTAAATAT